GACTTTTATTAGTGTCCGACCAAACTATTTATGAAGAAGGTGCTATAAGATACAGAATGTAACCAGTGATTGAATGTCTGGTAGACAAAAAGAAACGCGCGTATCGCAAAATCCTAAGAGATCGAAATTTTGAGTGTTTCTAGCGGAGGTGTTTCAAAAGAGATTTATTAGTATTTTTCCTTTAAGGAGAGTGTGTGTACAATATGTTATGTAAATAACATCAGTATTTTTGACGTCAAAGTGAAATAAATAGACTGTGAATCCCAAAGGACTGGTGTATTTTTCAAATTCAGGAGTAGATTCTTCGCTATTTTAGTTTTAAGATAGTTTTCATCAACATGATCTTTTTGTGTCAATTTTTGTGCAATGACTATATCTATAAAAAAGGATATTAAAGCAATAGTACCATTAAGAATATATCAGATGTAATATCAGTAAAAAAATGTATTAGTACAGTTTCCACAGGCAACCTAATTAAATACGTGATGTCACAAAACTTTACCGTGTACACTCGTACTATCTTATTGCAATAATAAAACAAAACTTTCAGTTATAGTTTTATTACGAAATTTTAATAATTTCTTAATATGTGAACATCTATATCTACAAGATGTAGATGTGTACTACTTTAACTCGTATTTATTGTTATTTTATAGTTCTATTTTGTAAACGTAACATAACTATTTGTTTCATAGATTTATAACTATTTAAAATATATCAGTTTCTTAACATTAATTCATTTAGAAGTAAACTGGGAAGTAAAGTAAGAGTAGAAGATAAATCAGACGTATAAATCAGTGGGGTGAATCGCTTTAGGGGCACAGCTACAAGGCCCGCTATATTATGTGCCGTTATAAAACAGAGTTAATGCGGAGGAAATGTGACCACAGTGGTTGTGCGTTCCTGCGGTCACAAATCATGGAACGCCGCGTCGCATAGCTTAGCCCTCATCTAAATAAACTTTGAAATTGGTTTTATTTATAACCTAAAGATGAAGAAAATATATTATTTATTTGTTCAATATTGTTTGTGACAAAAATAATATTTATTATTTACAGACAAGACTGAAATATATAAGTTTTGTAATTTTTATATGGCTCCAGTTCGTTTAATATAATTTATGTCTATGAAGAAAATCTTAAGATAATTAATTTATTTTCCATTATATCTCCTGTGTTACCTGGATGCGCAAATTCTACTCGTAACAAAACAAGTAGAATTTGTAATAAAAATGCCGTATTCATGTAGCGCGTGATGGGATTCTCGATTGTTCATATTATTTTCACGCAATAATTACTTGAATCTCCCTGGCAGCTGCAGCTATTGAAGCAGTAAATTATATAGAAGTCAATAATTTTCTAACCGTACCAATTCGCGCTAATTACTGACGCAACATAAATATCCGAGATTTATTATGGAAATTGTAGTTAACGGGGCTCAAAGAATGCCAGCGATACAGGGCTCATCAAAGTGGACAAATACATTGATTAAAGCCTTAACTAATCGAAAAAAGTAACATAATTTTTTTAATCGACTGATATTACACTAACTGTTCGCTATCTCATTATGATTATTAATTTAGATACACGTTAGCATGTACGTTACATCATTCACTCAATGAACATAAAAAAGGCTGGCTTTGAAATTACAAACTAGATCTTGTCTTCTGCCCACGTGTGATACGGTGATTATCAATTAGCGAATTGTTAAAATTTTTATGGATAGGTATATGTGGTCAGGATTGTCCTTCGAAAAGAACTTCGATGTACGAATGGAATAATAATGTTGAATAAATTATATTTAATGGCGAGTGGGATTGTTTTTGTACCGGGTACCCGACCGGTCTGCGGAGCCCGAGTGCTTTTTTTGTACGTAATCAATTTTAGATTTGGAGTGGAGTCGTGACCTAAACGCGTGAGCCTCGCGGGCTTCCGAGTGGTTTGCTTGGAGTCGACGGTACACTCAGCTACATAAAGATATTTGGTGACAGAACGAAATGCTTATAGCGTTTATGTTATTCAGATACAAATAAGTAATGAGTTATAAATCTTAATTAGATCAAATGTTTGTATTTACATAAAATCTTTGATATAAAAATAATAACTATATATATTGATTTAATATGATCCTGTAAGCTAATGTATTCAGATTAATTTAATTTATTACACGTACGTATCAATTATTAACGCTCTCTAATTAAAGCTAGCAGTACCAGTTAAGATTAAATGGAAGTAGACACAAATCAGAGTAATATTTACATAATCAGAGTTATATATTTACATATTTTAGTGAGTTATGTGTAACAATAAGTTGAAACTCAGTTGCTTAACAACTGTTTGTTTTCTAGCGAATAGTTTAGTTAGTAAGAGGCTTCATCCTACAAGTACATTTTCTTAATAAAATGCTTATTAAACGGTAGGTAGTATAAATTTCGGCCTTATCTTTTTAAAAATATTAAAAAAAATATACTGATTATTCTTAACGGTGAATTTATATGAAGATTACTGTACCTAGAGGTACCGATATTCTGTACTTATATGTTAGAAGTTACATGGATACCACTCACCTTTTTAAAACACTACTTAAGTGATAAATAAGCATACTATTTGCCTAAACATAAGTATGTAACGCATCGCTGTAAATAGGTTTAATTGCATACAGTTGCATGTGTAAATATTAACATTGTATTATTGTAAGTATATTTAAAAGAAGCTACACTAAACAACCATAAATTATACAATTGATTTGTTTTACTAATAGAAAAATTTAATAAGTTTATCTTCCGGTTCCGCCCATACTTGCATCTAAGCTTTTAACAGTTTTATTAATTTAAACAGTTTAATTACTATACATACAAGATAACAGTTAACGTTCTGATTGTATTCGATACGATTCGTTTTTGCAGTAACATATTATAAACACAAATTACAAATATAATAATACTACTTCAAGATACCGAAGTATAAAGTAACGATATCATACCTAAATATCACATTTTGTATGCAGTTAAAAGTCTTCTCTATTTATCTGACTTTTATTGCACACAAGCTGTTGCCCGCGACTTCGTCCACGTATAATTTAACTTATTTTATTAAAATAAAAAACAATTCCAAAATAAAAATAATCTAAGTTACTCCATACAACATTAGTTCGCTATCTGCGGGTAAAAGTCCCATCAAAATCGGTCTAGCGGTTTCACAAATTAGCAAGAACAAATAGACAGATAATTTTGTAATTAATTTCTGATATAATATATGTTCATATGCATTCTGTGGAAAGCTCTTAATTTTATTCGGACATAGTCATGCAAAAATATCAGATATAATGCTTATATTTTTAGCTTATATATTACAAAACTCTTAAATCCGCAAGAAAATTTTTGCAAGAATATCCAGTGTGGTAAAGTCCGGGACAAATTGTCGGCGTGGGTTTCGCAGACTGTGGAGGATCTGCGAGGATTGTTATTGATGTGCAAAGCGTTCTCTGTGAAGAGCCTTTAGCGCGGTCCATCCGAGATAGTTTTCATTAGGCCCGACCATGCGTGCAGAATACGCCGCGACGTTTACGGCCAAACCGGAAAAATCATAAAATATGTGCTCACATGAGTCTGCTTAATACGTATGAATTGGCTGCAAGTGCTACAATCATATTGTGGTACATTTTAGCCGTTTTTGGATAAGAAGGAGATTGTTGTGACGTTTTTCTTGTTTTTGTTTCGCCATCTAGTATATATTATACTTCTAAAAAAGAGCTATCATACCTTAAAATCTAAATTTACTTTATTGTCTATTGTGTTTCTGCCTAGTATTGCTATGTATTATACTGACTATGCCGTCTTATTAGACCGATTTTCATTACAAATTTCTGAACGCTTTTTTTACCGAGATATCTCATGTGCCACCTATCAATAAAAAAATAATCACTAGTTTGTAAGCTTACATTGCTCTAGGAATAGGACAAAAATATTTGTTATAAATTTAGTCATTTAAATATATTTAGTATTTTTTTAATATAAACCATGCATTCGGGAATCCTAAATATACTAGATTGTTTTTATTCTGATCAAATAACTTTTATAAAATGTTTTCTATGTTAGACATTAGTTATAATTGAGTTTGATAAAGTTCGAATTGAATTGTTTAATTCTTACATAATTAATTAATATAAGACTAAAAACCAGTTTAATCGAGATCACAAAAATAGATAGGTGTGCCGATTAAACCCATTCGTTTTTCTGTGATTGTAATAAATTAATGCTTATCTTTATTATAATTTTTATTATTAGTTAAAACTGGTAAAGATGTAATTAATTAAACGAAATATTATTCATGTCATTTGTGACATTGCTAAAAATATATTTATAAAACAAATTCTTAAATATATGGTTATGTAACAAAATATAGAAGATACTACAGGGGGACAAAGCATAATAGGAACGAATTTTTACTACCTACCTAAATTAATAATCTTAAAATTAATTGTTAAATAAAGTCTTCAATAAATTATATAGTAAAATAGAGTGGGTCTGCGTAAGAAGTATTTAAAGCCGATAGAAGAAATGGTTCCAGAGCTCGGTTTCACAAACGAACATCTGAGGGGGTCCTCAATTATTTCAGTACAAATGTGCAGGAATGTCTAATTTGCTCACGTAATTTTCGTTGGAATTTGTCCCCGGCCGTCGGTTGCCCTGAACTATTTTTATTGCTCGTTTCCTATTTGCTCCACTCCACAGGGAACAATATAAGTTGAAACTCGGGAGTTCCTAACCGACTTGTCTCAAGAACAAGTGTATTGTGAATTGCACGTCGCGACGTCGCCGCCTCTTTGCCGGCGACAGTGTTTTAATACATGTTTTGTTCACTTGTCTTACTTCAGCCCCGTGAGAAAAGGTGCAAAATGGTATTCCTTACTCAGTTTTGTTTTTGTTCGCCTTGTTTTTTATTACCTACAACTTAGATATTTATGGTATTGTTTATGTTCATAAAAGTAGACGTACTTACATGGCTTGTTAGTAAAGTTTATTACGCCTATTCAGCAGTAATTTCCGGAGAATAAACACCTTCCCCTGCAACAAAATTAGAAAGTATTTTATGATAGGTATTCTGTAACGAGGATAAGTTGTAATATTTATACACGTTAATTTAACTTCTGGTAATAAGGCAAGTACTAGAAAAACTAACAAAGGTTATTGAGATAACGATATTAATTATAGAATTGAGCATCTATCATATTCATTCGTACAAGCAGTACAAGGGAAATAACTTTGTACGTAAATGAAATAATGTGACGTGTGTTGAATTATATTATTATTTATGAACACATGCAAATGATTGCTGATTTGTGTTTTTCTGTGGTTTGTGGATGCTAAAATTTTTATCTGTATGATAATGATACGTTCATCCTCAGGATGTCCTATAAGGCGTCTAGGGAATTAATTGTGGAAGAAAAGAAAAGTTCGTAATTAAAGTCTAAAACAAGACGTGACATTTAAATTATTTCGCATAATATTTGGTATAAAGGGCTCCTATTCTATTGTAGATTAATACATATTTTTACATACACTCTTGAAGAGTGTATACAAGAAATACTTACCAGCAACTATTATGAGAATGATATTGTCACCCATATATATTTACCATAAGAAAACGTATTATATTTTCGTTGCTTTGGATTATCTCTTTTTTCTATCTTTAGTAAACACAGCTTCCAATGTAAGCTGCTTGGCGGCATTATATTAAAAATCGGTAGAAATGTATCTGAGAAACTGTTAATATAATGTTAACCTATTTATATGGTTTATTTTGCAAATTGAATAATATAAACTTATTATCTTGCTGATCGACATTGTATCGTGGTATCTAGTTTGCAATCACTCGTAATAAAGGAGATAAGTGATTTTGGAATGATGCCAGGACATGGCCCGTCGAGCCCCCTCTCCACTTTCCTCTTTACATAACTTCGCATTCAAGAGATCATTAATCTTCCTAGTTCCACGCCAGACCGAGTTTAATTTTAATAAACGGCTTTACTTATACCACATATTGATTTATATTATTATATCGTAATGAATACAGAAAACAGTACTAGCTTTTTTATAACTTATGTTGATTTGTTTTTTATTGCTATGTTATTTGTTGCAGAGAAGATGATTGCTTTTTAAATCTGTGGATGAAGCAAGATACTTATGGTATTTCTGTTATTGCAGTGAAATCGTTTAGGAATCCATGACATATATATGTATATATACATATATTATATTTTTATTTAATTTAGGAAGACTAACGGGGTAATTATACTGTGTATATAATTATATATTTATAAAGGATTAAATTTTAATGTAATCAATATCTGTGTATACAAATATATAAAAAGGTCATAGAATCTCTAGTAGTAATTATGATTGTAAATAAAACATATTACTTAATAACATTTATTAATTTATAATTTTTATTACTGGTTGAGTAAGTTTTATAAGTATATACGTATATTATTATAATATATTTATTACAGATAACAATAGTTTCTGTATGGTATCATAAAATACTTAATGACAATAATAAAGTGCAGAATAAAATAAATACGAGTAGTTAGTATTTTATAGTATATAGGTTGAATAGTTGAACCTATAAAAATGAGGGTATGTAAGTACCTACAGCTTAAATAAAATAATAGAATCGTTATATTTATTGATGTATTTTTATAACTATTGAAGTTTTATTGCGACCATTAAATATAATTATAACTCGACTATATTTTGTAAGCATAAACTCAAATCGCCCTGTCGGTAGGCGGGCGCTGGTGTGTAAAGCACATAACACGAGATTTCAGGGGTCCAGCCGGTGCCCTGAGGGACGACCCTCGATGTTCGAGCGTGTCCTTCATCAAACCATGTCTGGCCGTATTTTATGGCACGCAGCCAAAATTTCGCTGGAATACAGGCACAGGTGTGTTGTTAGGTATTATTTTCATTGCTGACTACACAAAGGACGGCTAGTCGCAGAGTAACTAGATTTACATAAAATTTGTTTTCATATTTGCAATTAGTTACATATTTATATAGTACATTATAGTTAAGTTTTTACTAATTAGTTTATTACATTTATAACTAAGGGATATATTATAAAGACTGTGGATGAAATATTATATATAGAACGTATAATTTCATTATTTAAGCAGAAATGAATTTAGTATTTTTTTTACATTTAGAAAATAGCTTTAGTTTTTTTATCCATTCTATTCCATAGACGATATATCTAGCCAAAGTAGGTCAAAATTTCAATGGAACGATTTAGCAAACGGTAGTTTAAGTAAAGAATATATATATCTTTATTCAGCACTGTTTGAACCCATCTGATGTAACCATGAAATGGATGATTTAGTTACCGCCTGGGAAATATCTGTGAGCGGTGTCGATATCACCTTAATTCGCCTAATCTCGATTTTGACCGAATCCTATTTTTATACGGGTTTCTCAAAGCTACCTTGTGGCTGTACCTTCTATATCCCCATAGAATACTTCTACTGTAGTATTATTACATGAGATTAAAGATTTTTAGCGTTGGAGTACAAAAATATTCTATACCTTATCTTTACGTTGTACAACAAAGTAGTTTTTTTACCTAATAATATCTAACCTAATATTATGATTAACTCGTGAATTAAAATTATATCTTTCATAACAGTGTAATGGTTATGTATATCTAAGGATTTATAATCTGCCATTTAAATTATTCAATTATCTATACAGATGTATAAAAAAATATACCTGAAATAGCAATAACATTATAGTAAATATATGCAATAAAATAATCAACTTTAATTCTTAGGTGGTTAGTTGTGAAAATGGATCTTAAATTTGAAAAGCATATATATACATACTTATACAACTAAATTAAAAGCTTCGTTTGTGAAGTTCGCCAAATATAAACCTACTTTTAATATAGATGCGTACCTATATTAGATATAATGTGTTATGTAAGTTTGTTTGTTTTATGTAAGTTATCTTAACATTATAACTTTTGTTTTTTACTGGCTAAGTAGATACCTAGATATATCTGCGTCCGGTAGCCTTGTATGCTGGCTCTCTCCAGCCTTATCGTAGCTTCATATCGACATGCAAATCTCTATCACGACACTCGCCGTATTTCTAGTACAAGTTTCGAAAAAAACGGACTTGTGTCCTTTCTCGGAATGTACAATTGAGCTATTTAATTTTTAAAACCCTATTGTGTCGCCGTATTTTTTAAACATGAGTCATATTTTTGTGGTATAACAATTTAATGAGAATATAAAATATTCATATTTGCTAATAACAGTTATGATTCATGAGTAAATCACTTACGTAACCTACGTAGACCATATATTGCATTTAGATATCTACCACGTAAATTAGTTGATATAAAATATTTCGTTAATTATCCTTTACAGTAGATATACATATTAAATGTATGTAATTTAGTTACCATTCGTATTAATAAGTTTTTATATTGGTTTTAACCATTTATGAAAGATATTGTGATATGTTTACCAACTATACAATGTGCGATTTTTAGAAATATAAATTTCCTGTTACGAGGAACAACGAAATGTCCATTGTAACATGTTACTTTATAGTCGTACTAACATGTTTAGTGTTCGCCCATTCTTCACTATAACCGTTCCAGGACATTTTTATTTGCTGTACTTCGAAAGCTTGATTTAAGCATTGGAAATGTTTGCAAGTGAACAGAGCGTATAAACAGCTTTTGTAAAATTCCCCACTCAAAAGTTTAAACGATTCACGATTGCTACTTTATAATGCCAGATGTTCAGTGTCTGTTTGCTCTTTCTGATTTCATAGCTTACAGTATTATTATGTATAGTTTATATTTCAAAACTATTACTAGGTTCTTTACTGTTGTAAAATTTTCGTTAGATAATTTCTTATAAATATCAGACTTGTTGTGTATTTAGTTATACCCTGGGAATTTGTGGATAAACATAGTGGAGGAATAAGGTAGGTCATAGGTAATCCCAATTCATCTTGCTCCAAGTATTACTGAATTGCAGAAATCTCTAAGAAATCCTTGTTTATAGACCAGACGAGTAGAATTGAAATCATAGAATTTATGTTTTTATAACGTTTAGTCTTTATATCTATATAAAAAATGATTTAAAATGTAATTAAAAATGAGAAGTTACAGTACAACTCTCCGCTATTCTTTAGTCTATCAGAGGATAGACTAAAGAATAGCGGAGAGTTGTCAATGTTACGTATAACTAGAGTAATTTTACTTAGCGGTCGTTCTTATCATCTATTATTAGGTACTGAATAATGTCATAGTTTTAAATCTCAAGTATGAATCCTACGTTCAGAAGTTTATACTCCGCAAATAAATCACAAATTCGCCTAGTGGAATAATTTGTTTGACTGTAATAATGATAGTTCGCTCATTGTCTGGATTTAGAGCAACTAAATAATGGAGACTACTCGAGCACACATACAATAATCGCAATGTGAGGTAACGGCCTAAACATATATTGCGTGCACGAAAAGTCGTTTAGAGAGGTTATCTCTTGCAGAAAATTGCTTTGCATCTCTAAGGAAATATCACATGAGACGAAAACACTTCTTTGTAAGTTACAGTTTTCGTAAATCTATTGTCTCTATTTGTTTGATGTCAACATATTAAGCAGAAATTGATTTTTTCATATATATTAAGATCATACAATAAGTAGAGTCTGAATTTCAAATTATACTTGTGTAAATAATATCTAAGGTGATCATTTGATCACCTTAGACTATTCTGTTAGATATGTTTCAACGAAGATAAATGTAATAATATCTGTGTACCACTGACACTGACACTATTCTTTATGATAGATTTTTAATACCGAACTCAACCCAACCTAATCTCAACCAGAATATCTTGTCTAGCGTACCTATTTCTAGTACCTAGGTTTATACAAGAAACTAATTCCGATTCAGTGACATTCGTTAGATTACGCTATTGCGCACATTTTAATACTCTTGAACCTACGATATCTTGAATACTAGTAAAATATTAATTCTATATTTCGTGTTCA